CTAAAAATCAATGGGAAAATATCCTCTTGTGAGGATCAACAAAAACAACACAAAACAAACAAACAAAAAAAACAACCAGGGGAAGCTCAAGGGTCTCCTCTCCAAGGTGCAGGGGTAAGCTGTCTCCCGATACCCCCAGTGATAGGCGTGTCCCTGGGCCTTGAAGGACTCTGGCTGGGTGGGGCAGGAGCCAGGCTGAATGGGGGTGGCTCACTCCTTTTACTCCTAACAGATACGCAGCCCAAGAAAGTCCGGAAGGTGCCGCCAGGTCTTCCATCCTCGGTGAGTTGTGAGATGGAGTGAAGACCCCACAGACCACATGCCTCTCCTGCCCTCCAGGTTTGGGGGCTGTCCCTGCTGGAGGCCATACAATGTGTCATTGGGGGCACTGGGTCCAGGACATAGGGATGTGTGTTCTGAGCAGTCCCATGAGTGAGCCGGTGTGTGCACTTGGCCGGAGATGTTTAGTAGCTCAGCCGCAATCACTGTTAAGGTTGCTGTCCCCTAGTAAATTTTTACTAGTATGTCTGCTCTGACAAGGACGGTGACAGCATGCTTTCCTACCCTCCAGCATCTTTCCTGTATATTACTCAACTGGATGTAACAAGGAGCAGACACATTCATGGCTGTCACATCTGAACTGCCGAATGGATTATCATCCAGTTCTTAAGGATTTCTCAGAAATGGCACCAAGTCTAAAACACATCATAAATGAAAAAGACTTGACATCATAAAAATTAAACCAGCCCTGGTTGGGTGGCTCAGTTGGTTGAAGCTTTGTTCTGTACACCAAAAAGGTTGCAGTTAAATTCCCAGTCAGGGCACATACCTAGATGTGGGTCAGGACATATGGGAGGAATAGATTGATGTTTTTTTCTCTCTTTCCCTTCCTCTCTCCAAAATAAATAAAAACATATCCTCAGGTGAGGATAAAAATAAATAAATAAATAAACAAATAAATAAATAATCCCCCGAGACAAATGTAAAACCTCCATTATTAACAATAGTTTGTAAGTTGGGAAAAAACAGCTGCAATATAGATCACAAAAGATGAGTAAGCATCCTGCCCAGCCAGGTGGCTCAGTGGTTGAGTATTGAACTATGAACGAGGTCATGGTCTGATTCCCGGTGTGGCCTCGATCCCCAGTTGGGGACATGTAGGAGGCAGCCAATCAATGATTCTCTCTCATCAATGATGTTTCTCTCTCTCTTTCCCTCTCCCTTCCTCTCTGAAATCAATAAAAATATTTTAAAAATAAAAGATAAGCATCCTTCTTATATAAAAATTCTTGCAAATAAAAAACATCAGTATAGGGTGGGGCTACGAGACACTATGGGGAGGTAGCATTGAGTTGTTAGCTGGGATCGTTACTAAACTAGTTTTAGCTTTTCCATAAGTAAAATGGGGATGATAATAACACCTATTTCACTCACCTATGAGGACAGAAGACTCACAATCAATGACCCAGTTTGGGTACCTGGCATACAGTGCTCAAGTAATGGTGACATAAGTCATTGCTAACAAGCGTTATGATTCCTTTTGCTAAAAAGTTTATAAAGCAGCAAAAAAGGAACCAACAACTGGGATAGATCTCCAGTAAATTATGCTGAGTGGACAAAGCCAACTTTAGAAGGTGACAAGTGGTATGGGTCTGTGTATCTAACATTCTCAACAGGACAAAATGTAGAGATGGAGAACACTAAATTAGTGGTCGCTGGGTGCAAGTGACTGTGAAGGGGCAACGGGAGAGTGGGATGATGGAACAGCTCTGTGTCTCGATTGTGGTGGTGGCTTAATGGCGCTAAATGTAGGACAAATTGCACACAACTATACATACACACATACATGCTCACACATGCACTGGTGAGCCCTGAATAAATTGCACTGTACCAAGGTCATCTTCCCAATCCCGTATTATGTTACAGACATGCTATATGTCTGGGAGGCCGGGGGAGAACACGGGGCCTTTCTGTACATTTCTTTGCAATGTCCTGTGAATCCATGATGATTTCAAAAGACCCAGTGTTGGTTTAGGGGTGAGGACATTTTACAGTGAATACACGGCCACAGTCAGCCTAGTGACTTCCCCAGAGGACAATCACACACATACATTGCAGGGTCCTTACAAAGACCCAATGTGAAAGCCACCTCTCCTAAGTGTTAGATGTTGACCAAAGCATGTTAGCTTTACACAAACCAAGAAAACTGTGGAGAAATTAAAAATAGAGATACCTCCTTTAGTCTGACAATGAGCACTCCCTGATGTCTCATGTGGCCTTGAACCCTGTAGTCTTTGGCAGAGAATGCACTGTCACGTAGAGATCTGTGCCTCAGGGTTTCCCAAAAGGGAATGACTGGAAAAATTATTCTTGTTTTAAATGTCTTCCAATCCAGAGAATAACTAGAAAGCCTCGGCCTGGCATTGGTTGGTCGTCAGTGCCTTTCTGACACCATTTTTTCAAAGCAGAGATGGCCCAGGCAGCCATGGGCAAGGCTGCCCATAGACCCTCAACATGCCACTCAGCTACTATTTCAGTTACTTTCAGAGACACCTCCTACTTAGGACCAGGCTGCTGATTTTCTGATAGGAAATGACCTTTTGAAATAAACTTAACAGAAGCAAGTTAACTTAAAGTCAACACCAGGAAAATGCCAGACTGGGACTTACAAGGAGGTGTGAGGAGATTGTGGCTGGAGGACCTATTAGCATTTGGAAACTTAAAAAAAAACAAAAACGTGTTTTTAATTGATTTCAGAGAGAGGTAGGGAGAGATAGAAACATCAATGATAAGAGAGAATCATTGATTGGCTGCCTCCTGCACAGCCCCTACTGGAGTTTGAGCCAGCAACCCCGGCATGTGCCTTGACCAGGAATGGTACCCTGACCTCCTGGTTCATGCGTCAACGCTCAACCACTGAACCACACCATTGGGCACATCTGAAAACTCTTAAAAAAAAAAGGCCGAGACCGGTTTGGCTCAGCGGATAGAGCGTCGGCCTGCGGACTGAGGGGTCCCGGGTTCGATTCCGGTCAAGGGCATGTACCTGGGTTGCAGGCACATCCCCAGTGGGCGATGTGCAGGACTGGGGACTGAGCCGGCAACCCGGGCATGTGCCCTTGGCCAGAATCGAACCTGGGACCCTTCAGTCCGCAGGCCAACGCTCTATCCACTGAGCCAAACCAGCTAGGGTGAAAACTCTTGATAGTGGTGTCCCCCTTAAACTGACATAGTCTGTCTGGAAGGAGGGTGACCCACTTACTGATGAAAGGGGTGTGTGTGTGTGTGTGTGTGTGAACAAGACCCTCCCTGTCCAGAGGGAGGGCAGGGGCTGCAGAAACCATGGAAAATCAATCTTCAAATATTTATAGGAGTTCCTAGAGGGGACCCTTATACCCTGGGCCATGGCTTTGGCTATTAAGGGCTGCTGGCCTTGTGAGTGGACACCAAATTAGGGAAGACAGCTCAGGGCAGAGACCCAGGGGGAGATAAAGGCACCTCCTCTAGGAAGCCCCCCAGGGTCTGATCTTCTGCCTGAGGCAGGGAAGTGGAAGCACCCTAGCTCCTGGGGGCTATTTCATGGGGGAGGGATGTGGGGATTTCCATACCTCAAGGAGGACTCTGGCTGTCCCTGCTGCCACTTCCTCAGGCAGAGAGGAAGGCCAGTGCAAGGCAATGGGGGCGGCAACACAATATTTCTCCCTTTGGGGTGGTGCATGAACATAAACCACCCCCTCAACACACCCCCTCCTCCAGCCAGACCTCACTGGATATCCCAGTGGGATTCAGAAATGACTCCAAGATCTCAGAGATGCAGGATGGCATGGCGCCAATCCTGGGATCCCAGAAAGATGCCAAAGTCCACACAGAGTGCCAGAGGTGCTGGAAACTGAAACAGCCAGCCTCCCCAAAGGCTCCCCGCAAATCCTCCCAAAAGCCAGAGCAGACTCCCCAACATGCACATGGCAACTCTCTGCTCACAGCTCTCCAGGCTCCCATCTCCTTTGGGATGAAAGCCCAAATCCTCACCATAGCACACAAGTCCCTGCATGACCTGCCCCCAACCCCTCCATTCCCTCATCTCCTCCCTCTCCCCCGTTCACTCTGCTCCAGCCACACAAGCCTCCTCCCTGTTTCTCCAACACAGTAGATGCCAAGCAAGGTCCTGCCCCAGGGCCTTTGCATGTGCTATGCCTCCTGCCTTGAACTCCTTCACCCTGTCTCTGCTCAAACTTCTCCTTGGAGATCATCCACAACTGGCCTGGTTTTGTGGAAGCTCCCTCCCTGCTTCTCTGCTTCCTGACCCCTGTTGTAGGTTCCTTTAGGCCATACTGTCCATCCTCCACAGGCATGTCAGGGGCACTCAGTGCCAGGTTGAGTGACCAATTCATACAGGTTTGCCTGGATATACCCAATTTGAATGCTCTAAGTCCCAGTAACCCTCTGAATCCTCCTGTATACAGTAAGGGCCAGGAGCTGGGCCTCTCCCAGGGCTTGCAGGATGGGCAAGATTTGTCAAGGGCTAAAGTTCTACATCATGCCCCTTCTAGACCCGTTTCCCCTTTGGGGATGGAATGGAGACCCAGGACCCCACTGGGGCCAAGAGGACCTCAGAGGCTCAAGCCCCTGTCTCACACAGGACCCCCTTGTGAGTGACACAGATGCTTCCCATCCCCAGTCCAGGGGCCTAGGTTCCAGGTGCTGGACAAAGGATGATATGCTGACCTCCAGGCTCCCTTCGCTATACTCAACACAGGTTGTGAGACCGCGACAGCAACTTGTTCTCCAGCCCCGACTCCAGTTGCTGGACCTGAGTGCCACCCCCCACCTCCCCAACAGCTCCTCCTCTGGCACCCTGTCCACGAGGCTGCAGCCAGCCTCAGCCCCACTCCACATTCCAGGTCCGGTGCTGTACCCTGTTCCTGCTCTGCTCCAGCCCACCCTCTACACAAGCTCATCTTTTTATGCAAACTCGCAGTCCCGAGGCAGCGGGATCCTACCTGAGCCTCCAAACTGGGTGCCAGCCAGGGAGGTGGGCCGGCCTTTCCCATTGGCCACTGGCAGCGGAAACATCTGTGGGGAGGCAAAGAGAGGTAAATGAGGTGGCGGGGGGCTAGAGGGGTGCACATCCAGGGATGCAGCTCTACCTAGGGGTCCTATCCCATCAGAGGGCCCAGGCAGGGAAAGGCAGCCAGGCTCACTACACACTGCCTGAGCAGAGAAAGGCTCTCCTGGAGAAGCCCTTAACCAAGGCCCCTCTGACAATACAGCCCACCACTGGCAACAACTGCCCAGTGGAAGTTAAAACCTGTTGTTTACACAAGCTTTGTATTTTTCCAGGTTTGCATTTTTTTGGATGGACTAATTATTTAGGTACTTGATACAACTTATCTTCTGTTAGATGTGATACACAGTACTCTTTAAGTTTCAGCTTAAAAAAAGTGAAACCATTTACACCTAGTAGGTAGACCCTGCCTAGCCCCTCCAGTCCCACAGGTCACCATGTGCACATCCCTGACTTGAGTGGCAGCGATATAGGGAAGACAGTCAGGCCCCACTGCTGGGGCAGACAGCGTGACCTAGATGGACTGTCTCCCACGTGCTGGGCTCTGTGCTCAGCAGCTGCCTGGGCAGCCCTCACCATACCCTGACTGCTGATGCCTGCCTGCCCTTCAGAAGAGGAAACTGAGGCTCACAGAGGTGGGAAGCTGAAGGGACCAGGAAGGGCTATACCCCCCATGGCTGAGTGATTCCCTAGGCACCATCCTCCATGCCCAAACCCTGGGTGTTAAGTCCCTATAGATTAAACAACTTAGTTGTACTAATGGGAAAACCCAACAACAACAAACCTGTTACCACAAAAAAAAACCCAAAACAAATCTTTGCCATGTCCCACAGATCTGGGTTTTACAGATTTCGTTTGGGGCTCAAGTGATTAAAGTAGCTGGAATCGAGGCCAGTGGCCCGTTGGGGAGTGGCTGAAGGCTCCCCCAAACCTTTCTAGGCCAGCCAGAATATGAGGATGCATCTCTCACCTGAAGGTATGACTCTTATGTGGGTACCATGAGACTTGGGAGGGGCCCAGGAAGTGGGGTCCTGTCTCCCATGCCCCGTCCTATAGGAGGAGAAACTAAGCCCACATCCTCAACTGACCCTGGCAGGAGTTAAGAGCATAGGCTCCTGGGGTCTGCACCCCTCTTGGGAAATGTGTTTGTGTGGCTCTGCTCCCTCAACTGGGCCGGCCTCTCCAGGGCCCTATTCTCCAAGATGGACCCTCTCCCACTGGTGAAACTGAGGCCCACATGGGGGAAGGGCTGGCCTAAGCCAGGACAAGAACCAACAGGGCCCGATGCCTGGAGATCAGCAGCCAACCCCTGGGGCTTGTCTTTGTTTTGTCCCCTAGAGTACCAGGGGCTGACGTGGCACTTGCCACAGGGGGCAGTGGGCTGTGTCCTTTGGGCGCTGTGGGCCTTGTCATCAGCCCAGATAGGCCCCATACCCCTGAACCTTGGTATTCTCTCCTGTGAAATGGACTTGGGGCTCTGACCACATGGGATGTTGTGAAACCCCAAAGCACATGGGTGTCTTGGGCACTTGGGGGCCTCAGTACACATGCCAAGCTCAGAGGGGAACCCAGTCAGGTCCAGGGCAAGGGCTGCCAGACCCCCTGGTCTCCCCAGCCCCTCATCAGGCAGAAGGACCATCTCTAGCCCACTCAGGGATCATCACCTCAACACCTTCCTTTTCTAACTCAGGAAACTCAGGAACAATTTAAATTGGGTTTCCTTTGTTCCTTTGTATTTAATTTTGACTGTTGCCTTTTCTACTTTTGAGAAACTAACCCCCTAAAAAAGAGCTGCTTCCCTTTAGGTTTCTTTGTTTCAGTCTAAAAACAAAGTGGTTCAAAGAAACAAATTAACTCAGTTTCTGTGGGGCAGGTGAGAGGGGGCGCTATGGAGGAACAGAAGAAGGGACCTGAACTAAAATAGGTGGCTGCCTCTGTGCCCACTTGGCCAGGCCACTCTCTTATAACAAGGAGGGACAATGAAAAATCAAGCTCTGAGTTTCTCTGAGAGGAGACACCAGGCACCTCACCCTCTCAGCCTGTTTCTTCATCTGTGAAACGAGCTGCTGCTTTTCAGCTGGGGAAGGGGAAACATTCAGACCCTTTAGACAGAAAAGGGAGGCTGACAAGTGGTTCAGCGTTCTCAGACAGAGGAGGCAAAGGGGTCAGCTCTAAACCTGTGCTCCCCCATCCCCAAGCGGGTCTGTTCTGGCCCAGTAGTCTGTGACTTGTCAGTTTAACAAAAAAAAAGTGAGCTGTACCCGTGGTTACTCAGCCAGGGAGGCAAAAATAAAACGGCTTAAAAATATGAGCCTGGCCCTTCCTGAGCCGAGGCCCCCTGTCTCAAGGGCTGTTTTTCTGCAGGATGGTTGATATTTCAGTTTGGGGACTTGTTTTTGACAGACCTCAGTGGCCTGAGCCTCATACTAGTGGAGGGTTAAATTCAGACCGAAAGTGTCCTCCCCCAACCTATTTCAAACCAAAAATGGTGCTTGGGTGGGGGGAGGGGTGAGACTTAGGGAGCTGTCCACCCTGGGTTCCTGTGGATCACCCGAACACCCGCCACAGGTGGCCCACTGCACAGATGAGCAAGCCAAGGACCCTGGTCCAAGGTACACTCCAGCTCCCAGCACCCAAGGGAGCTCTGCTCTGGTTTCTGGTCTCACTGGGCCTGTTTGAGCTGTGTGACCTACAGAAGCCAGTACCCTCTCTGAACCTCCACCTACCTGGCAGGGAAATGGGCAGTTCAGGGTGGATCAAACCGCCCAAAGTATAAGGATTCTCACCTTCCCCCATGGGGCCTGCTGCTCCCCAACAGTAACAATGGCAGTGATAGTAATGGTGGCTGAGCGCTGCCCACAAATTCCCACTGTTCATGAGGTCTCCTCCTGTCACCTGACTGCTAAAACCATGGACACCCCCCCGCCCCACCTTTTTTAAAAAAAATCCATAATGTAGCAAATAACCCTGATCACACCCATTTTATAATGGCAGTGATAGTAACTGCTAAAACCATGGACACCCCCCCTCCCCGCCTTTTAAAAAAACACCCATAATGTAGCAAATAACCCTGATCACACCCATTTTACAGATCAGGGCTGAGCCTCCCCTTGGAGACAATGGAGGCTCTGGGCAGTCCCTCCCACTCTCTGGGCCTCAGTTTCCCCACCTGTAGAGTGGTAGACTGAACCCACTCTATGCCCCAACAAACGCCTGGGTGACAGGTGCCTTTGGAAGCTGACAAGGGCCCCAATTATGTACACTGCAATGGGGTGTCAGCCTGCCCCCAGAGGGACACCCCAACTCCCCCAGCTCTACCTAGGTGCCCCTCCACCCAAACAAGTGTGAGGTCTGGCTGTTGGGGCTGTTTCAGTTGGTGCTTCTTTCCCAGGAATCCTGCGGGTGCGGAGGGTGTAGGAGAGATGGGCGGAGCCTGGCTTACCATGCTGAAGTCCAGGAGGTCACTGAGCTCTTTGTCGGTGCCCACCGGTGCCATCCTCTGCGGCTGGTTCATTCTCCAGCTGCAATGGTGGGCTCAGGGGCCAAGGTGGGTACCTCAGTCCTAGAGATGGCCCTGCTTGGTAGCCCACGGTGGTGGATGGTGGTGGTGGTGAAAGCAGGGAGGGGCAGGGACAGACACATAAGGAGAAACGGACAGGAGGAAAAAAATTTTGAGACTGTGGCCTAAGTAGACAGATGGGGAATGGGGGAGCTGTTTTAAAAGCCCCTCTAAGCCCCTGAGGGTCTGGGTCCTCCTTGACTGAGTCCCTTCCTGACCCTGGGGGGTGGCACAGGGCAGCCAGAATTCCAGCCCCTGGAGAGACCCCTGCCCAGAGCCCTCTGAGTTTGAACAATGAGGGAGAGGGGGAGTAAGCAAATGTAGCTTTCCTAATTCCCTCTGCGACCACCAGGGACTCAAGCCGCAAATTTTTAAACTGGCAGCAGAGCGGGAGTAGTCCCTTCTCCACTTACTGGGCCCCTCTCCCGCCACATCTCCCATTCCAACCACCCCCAAGTTAACCCTGGCCCCGCCTCTGGGAAGGGGGAGGGGCGACTCAGACCCCGCCCCGAGGAAATTTGCTGACCCCCTCCCAAGCAGCTGTCACAGCACGTTGAAGCCTCCGTCACCCCCAAATTCAAAGAAAAAGAAATCCTCAAGGCGAGGCCCTCTGCCCTCTTCATGACTGAATGGGGGTTGTGGGGGCAGAACGGGGACCTATCCTCAACGCTCCCCTCCACCTCTTCCCCCCACAAAAAACAACCCTAGCTTGTAACAACCCTGATGTATCCGGGAATTATTTTTAAGCAACTTTGAAAACATCTCTTGCCTCCCGCCCCTGGGGAAAGCGGGTTCCTATACCAGGATCTTCCGCATGGTCCCAGGGGTTCCCTTCTAGAACTGGGGGTGGGGGGTCCACCTGCCAGAACCCATCCCCCCCTCCACCCCACCCCATGAGAAAGGCGCGCAGCAGGTCTCCGTTGTCCCGTAGACGGACAAGACACCCCTCTGGCTTCCTCCCCGGGTCCCCAGATGTGGGCGGGGGTGGCCGCGGAGACACCGCGGAAGCTGCGGGAAGAGGGGGTTCTGAGCCCGAGGGAGACCCAACTTCAGTGGCGGAGAACTCCCCGCTTTGTTTGTCAACTAGAGACTAGGTGTGAAACGGCTGCCCCCGGGCACCCCCTCCCCCGCTAACTTTTTTCTTTTGGGGAGGCCATGCGAAACTGACTTTTTTAGTACGAAACCGCAATTTTTTTGTAGGATCGGTGAAACTGATTTTAAGGCAGACTGGGGGGGGGGGCGAAACGGGCTTTTATAGGGAGCTAAGACTTTGGGGCGTCACAAGGACTTTTGGGGACTCGGAAAGTATCTGGAACCACTTGGAGAGAAGGGGATCGGAACGTCTTCCTTTGAGGGGGAGGCCCGGGAAGCCAGCCGCCCACCCCCCCACAGCCGGTGTCGGCGGCGCGGCCCAGGTGGCCT